CATAATTGGATGCTAAAAAATTTAGTGTTAATTATAATAACATCTTGTGAACTAGTATTGAATATTAATATCCTCTTAAACTAAAAAATTGTACAGTTAAACCTTTTACTTTTAAAATATCATACAAATATCTTTGTTTAGAATTATTAGGTACTTTCAAAATACCATATTATCTACATGATCTACTCTCCGTCAATGAGAAACCGCAATAAAAACTAAATAGGCTTCATTTGTCTACGAACCCCACAAAAATGAGTTAATATGTTCCATTCATAAAAGTTATTGCTATGCAATTAATATGAAACACCATATTGATAAGAATAATACTACGTGTACCAATTAGTGTACTAACAGATGATGTGGCATGATTTTAAAGGTTTTGAGTATTTGTAATTTAATTAATAGGTAGGGTCAATAATAATAGCATAACACTAATTAATATATTAGTTAATACACTAATTGGCGCATGTAGCACCACCGTATTGATAATGACACATAATACTCAAAGACTAGTCACTAATTATTGATTCATGTATGATAACTTCATAATACTAGCTTGAAGAATGGAATCTAAAAGGAAGGTTAGGGGTACATACATCACTCTTTTTATTTTTTTTTATTCGTCTTTTTATAGCAAATTAAAAATTAATTAAAATAACAAATTCTCGGGGCCACAGTTCACTTCTTGGCTCCTTAACATCACTCTCTTTGCACCAAATGCATGCATGAGTTTGAGCTTTTTCTTCTTCTTTGTTGACATAGAACTTTTGATTGAAAAGATGCAAGTGTCAATGTAAACAGTGCTGACTTTGAGGCAAAGTTGAGGATGCGGCTGTTTTGAACCCCAATAATTGGTTGAAAAAAAAAAATAAAAAATATCCCTTAAATAGAAACAAAAAAGCTTGTTGATGTAGTAAATTATTTAAAATTAACGGATGATTATTTTCCAAATATATGGTTTGTGTATAGAATGTTATTGACTATCCTGTTACAGTTGTTTCTGAAAAAATGAACTTTTTAAAATTGAAATTGATTAAATCTTACCTTTGATCAACTTTGTCACGAGAATAATTCAATGGATTTGATTGTTAAATTAAATTATGCAAGTTTGATTAGTAATTTTACAACTACTAATTTGAGTTATATACTCGAGAATACGAAAGTTCAAAAATTTTAAATAAAACTTAAATTACCAAGCGATTTGATTTTGCAAAAATAAATAAATAAAATAAAATCAATCCATATTACAAGCTCGCTTTAGAATTATCTATCTATATATGTATAAAAGGCCCACGTTAAAAAACTTGATTTGGGTGTCAAAAAAGTAGGTAAATTTTCATTTTTTATTGCTTATTCATTGCATGCATTCATTAGAATTTTCATTTTTGTTGTTTCATAGACTCTAGGCAATAATTTATTTTTTGTTGTTTTTAAATTTTTCGTTTTGTTATTTTTGTAGACTCTGGAGTGCTTGACACAAATATGGAGGCAATAGGGAGGAAAATGGTAAAGTTGTGTGACGGTTTACCGTTAGCAATCATTGTGCTTGGTGGACTTTTGGCAACAAAGCATACATTAAGGGAATGGGAAGTTGTATACCAAAATGTTCGTTTGCATAAATGGAGTGATGACCCCATACAACATGACAATGGAGTATCAACGGTGTTAGCTTTAAGCTATCATGACTTGCCTTATCAATTGAAGCCATGTTTTCTATATTTTGGTCACTTTCTGGAGGATTATAAGGTAGATGCTAAAAGACTATATCACTTGTGGATAAGTGACGGTATAATTGTAGATGATGATAGAGTGGGAGATGAAACAATAATGGATGTGGCAGAACGTTACTTGGGTGTGCTTGCACAGAGGTGCATGGTTCAAGTACAAGTAGACGAGTATACTCAAAGGATCCAGGATTGCCGCATTCATGACCTTATGTTGGAGCTGTGTTTATCAAAGGCAAAAATGAATGATTTTCTTGGGATCATTCATCTCCAATGTGAAACTGATCTAGCTAATTGCTTTTCCACCACAACATCAACAACTACTGCTCCAAAAATACGCAAACTTGCAATTCATTTGAATAGGGATGTCGAAAGAGTTGTCCTCCCTGAATTGGAGACAACTAAACATCTAAGATCCTTACTGTTCTGCAATTCAAGGAGTGTCTTCGAGGCTCCTTCAATAGAGTTGAACTCCCAATTGAAGTACTTCAAATTGCTTAGGAATTTGGATCTTGAAGTATTTGAGATTGATGAAAAGTCAGTCGAATCAATAGGCAACCTAATTAGCTTGAGGTACTTGAGGTTTGGAGCTTGTTGGATACCGAAATGGCATTCGTCTATCTGCAAGTTGAAACGCTTGCAAACCTTGGATTTACAATATAGCGTGTTCAACTCAGGTGAAGTAATAGTCATACATGGAATGGAACAATTGAGGCATTTGTATATTCCGTTTGTTCTCAATCTCGATGTTAAATTCAAATTTGATGGGTTGAGCAACCTCGAAACATTAGGAGGGTTTCACACAGGGACTTGTGACGTCAATGATCTGTGTAAATTGATCAATCTTCGGCAACTAAAAGGTGCAACTTTCTCGACGAAGCACAATCAAGACTTAGCGGCTTTCATCAACTACCTAAGCATCGGTGCCGACCACCTCCGACAAACATCCGTATCAGTTAATTTTGGCAAAAAAGAAGAAGAAGAGTTGACTCTTCTCAAACAACTGTTAGGGTGTCACCATCTTTACACATTGCGTATTCGTGGAATTATTCCCAAGTTACGAGAGCACTGCCAGGGTTTCTCTCCCAACCTCATCGAGTTAACGTTGATGGGATGTGAACTTGAAGAAGACCCTATGCCAACATTGGAGAGGCTACCTAACCTACAATATCTCGTTTTGGGTGAGGATGCCTTTGTGGGGGACAAAATGGTTTGCTCCGCTAATGGTTTCCCCCAACTCAAAGCGCTATATCTCTCTATTTTGACGCATTTAAAAGAGTGGGAGGTGGAAAAAGGAGCCATGCCCAATCTCTCTACTTTAGAAATTGGTTATTGCCGAGGACTAGAAATGGTTCCGGAGGGACTGAGATTCATTGCTACCCTCCAACAATTTACAATTATGAATGGGAGCGAAAATTTCAATAACAAGCTTCGAGGGGTCAATGGTGAAGAAGGAGAAGATTTTTACAAAGTGCGACATGTGTCTTCCCTCCACATTAAGTAAATTTCTTAATTCTGGATAATCCTTTCTTTCACAAGAGACGAAACAACTGTTGGGTCTCTTATCATTTCTTTCACATCCCCCTCATTAATTCCCATCATAAAATTTGTTGATTATATATCTCTCTGCTTTTTTGCTGTTATATTGGTTTAGGGGTGGACAAATTATCATAGAATAAAAAAAAACTAAACCAAACCGAAATTATTGGGTTGGTTTGGTTTTTTTTTTTTTTTTGAATACATTGGTTTAGCTTTGAGTGTTCAATTCTATAATTCAATAGGATTGGATTAATTTTTGGTTTAGGTTCTATTTATATCGAACAAACCTGATGATCAAATCTATATATTTATTTATATTAAGATTCGATCAATATCGGCATGTTTTTACCTAATTAGTCTATTCTAATGGACTTGATTGCAACTAATCATTTCTCACTATTTATTTTGATTTTCAGTACATATTGTGAAGCATCAAAAGAAGAATGGGAAGTGGAAGAAAAAAATACTGGAAGGTAGAATTGGAATTTACGGTACTTAACTTTATTTTATTAGTTGTGTTACTGGATTTGATTTATTTTGGTTGTATTTAAACTTGAGTTGGACTTCACTATAGTATTCACAACTATTGGCTTGTATTAAGCAATATTTATTTTATATTTGTGTTAAATTTAAATATTAAAGACTTGTTATTTTAATTATTTGGTTCAAGTGCATGATTCATTTAAATATGTTCTAAATTTCATATCAACTCAAACCAAACTGACCCAATCACACCCCTATATTGGTTCATATCCATAGAGATTTTTTTTATACAAGGCGCAATTACTGAATAGCTAATTTTATTTTTTAACTTTTAAATACTAATTTTTTATTCAAAATTTTATTTTTTGAAAGTAATTTTTGGAATACTCTCATCAAAATTCATTTAGTAAGAGTTCGTATTGAATATGCAATATTAAAGAAAATGTTATTTATTTTCGAACAATGAAATTTTTATTATCTATGAATAGAGAAATTTCATATTAAAAATTAAAAATCCAGAATTAAGTGCTACAAAATGAAAAACCATATTTCATTGTTTGTAGATTAGAAAGAAATTTCACTGTCTATTGACATGAAATAGAAAATTTTAAACTAGAGGGACAAAATGCAAAATTAGCATTGGTTGCTAAAAAAATTGCGATAAAAAGAGGCATCACGCTCACTATCAAGTACAAACTTTTGTTATGTTTGTTTTTTTTTTTTCTTTTTTGTTTTATTTCATCCAATGCTCATTAATTTGGGTTTTATAAAGAGTATCATTAAAGAACTAAACGAAAATTTTTATATTTTTTTGAATTACCAATGCACATGCAATACATATGCCATATGACCCTTCTAACAAATAAATTAGCACTCAATTGAACGTAGTAAATCAAAATTTCAAATGTAAACAATTTGTTATGTGTGGACATTTTGGTTAAGATCATGAAAGGAGGATATTTATTTTTTTAAACTATATTTGGATCATAAACTGAAGTGGTATTTAGAAAAGACAAAATGAAAAACTCGATAAAATGTACATGAAATATAACTACATTTCACTTATTTTCACCCATCTTTTTCTCTTCCCTTTTCAAATTCTATGATCTAAACATTGCCTTAATATTTTAACAAGACTCAATGGAAACACCCATGTCCAACCCTTCCTACTCAGAAACTTTTGGGAGCTGGATATCATCTTGCCAAATCTCAGGGAGGAATATGAAATTAACCTCAAAAGTTTTGAACAACATATTATTCTGAACTTGCTGAAAATTTTCTTTTATAGGAATTAACCTTCTAAAATTTTACATATCTCCTCATAATCTTCGTGAGAATTTTTCACTAAAATTTTACAACTTAGTGATACCATCACATATGTGCTTCCTTTTCCAGATAAGAAAGGTAAAGCAGCTCCTGAAGGTAACATAATCGAAAATTATCACAAAGTTATGATTCAGTCACACATTGAGACTAAAACAGACAAAAACGGACAAACTATCAATTCAAACAGGTTCCCAAAATTCATGGTATAATATCTAAATGATCAATGTACATATGTTGGGCAGCCATTTGCTAGTTACTTGTTACACCTGTGAGCAAATCAGTATAATCACAACGGTGATAGAACTCTGATCTTTACTTCGAGAACCCCATGTGCTTCATTTGCTTAATGTCAAACCTCGATTCCTTTGAACACCATCTATTACTCGGAGTCAGAATCTGATAGTGGCATCTGGTAAGCGTCTTTTGGTTCCGTGTCAGTGATGGAAGGAGGACAATCTTGGTTTGACACCGCTCTCTTCTTGCGTCTCTGATTTGGTCTATCTTCATCATCCTGGAAATTTTCATATGGTGATTGAGCAAACATATAGACAGCAGAGGAAAATAAAAATGCATAAAACAAATACTGTTTAACGTACAAAATGCTTATGCAAGTCCCACTGCAGTGAATTGGGCAGCATGTATGCATAGCAAAATTAAGATCACTGATATTTATGTTTGTTAGTTGTAATTATGTGTTAAAATAGGAATTAATATTGGAGATTGATATCAACTGTAAATTGTCTTTTCCAAGTATAAATAAAAAGTCGCAAAATAGATTTGAATTGTTTTTCTTTCGTTTCTATGAGCTTTGTATGTTTGAAAAGGTTCTATTTCAGTTGTGTGTGGTTCTTCCCCAATGGGTGTGAGTTTCTTCCTCAATGGAAGCGAGTTTCTTACAGGTTTCTTGCTTGGGAGTGGAGAACCGCATTTCTGAGTAAGAAACGTCAACTAAGAAGGAAATTTTTACTACTAAGTGAAAAGCTCGATAACTTAAGCTAAAAATGCCGATTTACCTTTGATGAGGGCAAGCTTCCATCTGTACAATGAAATTTTTTGACGCGTTAAGGAGAAAAGTATTTACATCATATTTAATTTTTAATATTTGTTTACTATTTTGATATAAAATTCAAAATTCTAATGCCTCAAACGCCTTGAGGTTTACGCCTCTCCTCACGAGGGAAAAAAATGCCTCACATTACGCATTTGCCTTTAAAAACTTCGGTAATTAGTAGTAAGAGGTGCCAAAAGGAGACATGTTGGCAGTGGTGCTAAAAATTATTCAGATTTCGAGGTTGGGAACTATATAACACATAACACCAGCAGCCTCCAGGTAGTTCAACACAAAGTGAAACACAATTTCCTTTTCCAAATGAATCAATGTCTTTGAAAAATGGTGGGGGATGACTGTTAAAGAAAATTATTAGAGAATATCAATGAAGGAGCACAATAATACAGGAATGATTGGTGGTGAGGGAAACAAGTTCAACTAGCAAGCAATAGATTCCCAGCGAAGGAACAACCATACAAGAATGATTCGTGGGGAGGGAGACAGAAAAATCCTTCTTTAGGGTTTTTTTTTTCCTTTGTTTTTTCTTTTTTAGTGTCTGTGAGTTTGGGGTGGGGTGGGGTGTTGCTTTTTCAATGAGTGACAAGTCTAGAAATTGCAAAGCTGGAAAATGTGAATTGTTCAATGAGATGATTCAGAGATATGCTCAAAGCTATCACTCAATACAATAATCTGTTAGGGCCAGAAATAAAATGACAATGAATAGGCAATAACATGGCCGTCAAGAAAATAAAATAAAATAAAAAAACAAAACAAAAAAGGCTGCTACCCACAAGGTATATGTGAATGCATTTGAACTACATGACGGGAAACTTTGAACAATATGTTGTGAATGGGATTTATACACATCCCACCAATGTGAACGGAAGCACACAACGCACACACCAAAGAGAAAAACAATTAGACACAGATTTTGTGGTTTGGCACCAATAGCCAACATCCACGGGAGAGAGATTCAACTATGAATAAAAAATAGATAATACATGTGAGATGGTTAACACGCTCAAAACCCATATCACTACTAGAATCCCATGCTCAAGAGTAGGTGAGCCATTGATCACTCTAGTGCCTTGTCGGTATTTTTTGTCACCCCTTACATCGCTATTTTATCCTCCTCTTAATCTCACCAAAACATAGTCCCCGTGACTATTTATAATAGTCTATCCACAAAAAACCTAGTTCCATAAAATTAGGTAACCAAAACCTACACATTGGGTTTCCCAATAGATTCAGACTCTACTATCCTAACCCAAATACATGCTTAAACTAATCTAACAAATGTATGGGACTACATGTATCACATGGGTGGACCAATCCCAATAGAATATTAATATAAGTTACTAAATTAATCAAGTAAAATATTATGCAGCCAAAACATCACATAAATAAAAAATAATTAGAAGGAAAACAATGATGCTGAAAAGTAGAAAAGGGAAATAAAAGAAAGGACTAATCATGAGTCAAAAGAATATCAATGAAATACATTGGATTGGAGATGAAGATAACAGCTGAACAAACAATAACAATAACAATGCTCCCAGGAGCACAATCTGCCACGACTTACTTTTTTGCTCAGTTGAGTTTGATTATTTGATTGACTTGGATGAGTTGATTGGCTCCTTCGCAGCCAGATGCCACCAAAAGACATCAATGTTCCCAAGAGCAAGACTGAGCCAATCCTTGGATCTCCCAGGCGATTGTGGACTCCATTCATGATGCTACCAATTCTCTGTTTCATTCCTGTCCCTTTGGATAGAATGGTTTTGGCACCTACTGACCAAATAGGATCTGCATCTTCGGGAACAAGTGCAGGAGTTTTTGCTCTCTGCAATGAGACAAAACAGAAAAGGTTTAAGGCGGCAACATCTTGTATGAAAGAGATGCAACTCTAAGCTCCAGAGTGTATACATCCTTAAAAAAACCACAAAGTTTAATGAGTATCAATCTAAGAAGCATAGACACTTCTAAGAACGTAATGTGCCGTGTCCGACACTCGTCGAATACCTATGTAGCACTAGTGTGAGTATGGATACTGGTACGAGTATGCTAATACAGCAAAACCTTTCCAAAAAAAAAGGATATGGGTATGATTGGGGTACGGTTGTGGTACGTCAATAAATTTTTTATTTTTCATAGTTTATTATTTGAGATTCAATCTACAAATCAAAGTTCAAAACCAAAATTAAAACGAAAATTACAAAACCAAAAGAGAATTCACAGTTCAACAATACCAATATCAAAGCAAAGTCCTATTGCTATTTTAACGCCATTAAATAGGAAAAATTACAAAAACTAAGTTTCATTCCAAAAGCAAACTAGAAAAATTTGGAAAGTTGAAAAATCAATTCTCACTTACATCAACGTCATTATTGAACAATACATCTTTCATCTTTGACACAGCAAGTAACAGATTTGCAATTTGAAGTATATCATAAATCTCTAATAAATTAAATGTATCACTATCAATGTCCCATAGCTTGGTGTACCCCCGATGCACCCATCATGTACCTACGAAGTACCCACCTGCTAAAAAATGTATAAAAACTACCCGGTACGTATTTCATGTACCCGATACGCGTGCAACCCTAATGGTACGCGTACCAGTACCCGTTATGAGTATGGCAATATTTTCGGAGTACCCGTGCTTCATAGCTGGACACTTTCCAACACTTATACATGAAACATATTACGAGTTTGAATAAATAACTTGGAATCCAATGATACAAAAAAAATTAAGTAAATTTATACCTATTCTCCTCCTTTATACTTCAAAAATGAATATATTTTACTTAAATATTTATATATAAGACATAATAATTATTTATCCTTATATATGACATATATTTGATAAATACATGAATAAATTATATATTTTGCAGAAGTCCTCAACGTGTCGTCTCCTACATTTTTTGAAAATTTACATGTCGGTGTATCGGTGTGTCAATGTCATGTCACATGTTCGTGCTTCTTAGGTATCAATAATGGAGTGAAGGTAATTAAACCCCTTAGCAAAATGCACAAATTCATCCATTCAAGCACCAAAAGGAAGCTTAATTCTAAAAAAAGTTTGTCTATGGTAACTTACAAAAAAGGGGAGCTCCCTAGAGTCACCATCTTCAATTATTTGAGAGATCCACTTGATGATCTGCCAACCAAATAAATATAAACTCAACGTGAAAAGGTACACTAAATCACAAAGAATGTTGCATTTGCGTTAACTGCTCAATACAGAGTGAAATATATGTCAATAATTAAACCATGTAAAATCCATCTCACAACAGATAGAAGGCCAAACCTCTAAACTTTCTTCGGAACTATTGTACCTCGCAACAAGTTGTGATGCAGGATCCACATCGTCATTCAGAAATGCCTCCAACATGTTTTTTGGTTTTTTTTCCTCATTTAATACTATCTTCTGTAGCATTCCTTTTGTGTGTACAATAATTAACTCTGGTATATCTGTTATATCCCTCCTAGGTCCACATGTTTCATAGCTGTTCTCTATTTGAGTGTGGAAAAAACAATATCGCTGGAGAAGAAGAGAAATTTAGTGACTAATACAGTTGCAAAAGATCATTTGTTAAATGTTTCAGCGTAGACTAGTCCATCATGACCATTATTAATTAAAATATTATAATCCATAATAGTAAGCACACATACTTCTACATAAAAAAGAAAAAAAACCTACAAATGGTTCTAGGAATAACAGTGGAGAGATGGAAAGATCATTCCTTCAACTGAATAAAGCAGAAGCAAACAACCTCTAATCATATGTACCATGCAGCTGCAATGACGTCTTACACAATTGCTATTGGAGTTTATGAATAATTTTCACCTTTGCAATACATGCCTCATATACGCAACCTGGTGAACTTTAGTTTATTTTAATTATATAACACCTTCTGTGAGAGGAATCACATTTAGTTTCCTACACTACATAGCTTGACCTACAGAACAGTATTATTTGTATAGTTGAAGAGGAATCACATTCTTTGTACATATGGCTTGATCATAGAAATTCATTCTATGTACTTCCTACAGTTCTTTGTATTTCATTCTTTGAGATGAATCACATTTCCCTGTACATATAGCTCGATCCACAGAATAGAATCAACCAACAAAAGTACAATTTTTTTGTCAAAGATAACCTCCAAAGTTTTTAAAATGACCAAGAAGCATAATAAAAAACTTTCAGATTTTTTGGTTTAATTTATGAATAGCTTTTGAGTCTTTTCTTTTTCTAAAAAAGAAATTTGGGGGGGGGGGTTCTTTAGTGAACTTTTTTCATATTTTATTTTATTTTAATTTTTTACTTTTTAGATGCACCTAATCTAGATGCACTTAAAAAATAAAACATTTATAAAAAAAATATGAAATTGTCTTTTAACATTTTTCAGATTTTTTTTCAAATATTTTAAATTTTAAGTGCATCTAATTAGGGAGATCTAAAAAAAATAAAAAATAAAAACTAATATATGAAGAAAAAAAATTGCTAAAGACAAAAAACAAAACAATTTTGAGTTCCAAAAGTTGGTTTTGAACTCAAATAGGATAACAATGAATGATGAATACTTTTAATTGGACATGTCTCACATGGAAAACAATTGGTGTGTACATGCTTTGCACTAGATAGGCCATGGCTAAATATGTATATACCAAAGGCTTTAAATGTGAATGCGCAAGTCTCAAGGCATCAACACATGCATTTCAAATTTCAAATTTTTATATTTAGTAAGAAAAAGTTATTTAAAACTAAATAAAAAAACAACGCCCAATTAGTATACATTAATTTTAATTTTATTCAAAATTAAATATAAATTTATAAATACTTTTCTCCTCAAGGCATTGAACATTTCATTACAGAATAGGAAACTTGCTCTCATCAAAAATGAACTTGACATTCTTAGTTTCAGCTATTGAACTTCTTACTTGAGTCTTTGCTTCATACTTTTCTCAGTTTTTTCCTTGGAATATGATGGCTAAAGAAGATGTTCTTATTTTTTATGTTTAAATAAAAACTAGGTATTATAGGCGGTGTTTGGGAAGTTTGTGTTTTGGTTTTTTTTGTTTTTTTTTTCACTAAAAGACAAATTAGTTACAAAACCAAAAAAAACCAATCTAAACAAAATATCACATCAAACCCCATAATCATTTCACTTTTTCTCTCACAAACATCATCCAATTACAAAAAAACCCAAATATCTTCCCAAACACAAAATAAAATTTCTCCAATAATATCCTACAACTACAAAAACCTACAAAAAAAAACCCACTTCCCAAACACCCACATAATAAGCTTAACAACAACCCAAGACAAGCTCTCCATATACGTATTGTTACATGGGATTGAGGTACGAGTATCGGGTACAGGTGTATATCCAAGTGTCAGACCTTCATAAATTTAAATCTTGGGATACATATCCAAAATTAGATATGGGTACTGGAACACGTTATATGCACATATATATTATATTTTATATAATATTCTCGGATGGGATATGGTAAATTATGTAAAAATATACTATAAATTAAATAAGATATAGGAAAAATATGAAATTTCTATATCTAAATCACGTGAGAGGCTAAAAATATTACTTTACTAACAAATGTGAGTTTCTTCTTCTTCTTCATGTATTGTCACAAATTAAAAGCATCTGAGTGCCTAAATTGGGTACAAGTGTCGGACACATATCTCACACCCTTACCAATGTCACATCCAATGGACACGGGTACTGTGGGGAAAATAGAAAAGTCCATGTAACACAGCTCCTCATATTTATGTGCAAAAGGAGTACAAGGTGCACGTGTTGCACACCTCAAACTGTGATGTGCAAGTCTTTGGAGAGTTTCGCCCAAAAAAAACAAAAAAAAACACAATGCATTTTACCTTAGCCTCGCCTCGAAGCTAGCCTCAATACATCTTTTAAATACACAATATATTTGTATAAACATGACATATTGTAGGATTTGTGGCTCAAATCATACAATAACTTTCTAAGATTAATAACACATATTTTGAAAGATTATTAAAAAGTACCAGAATTTTTTTTTTTTAACGAAAGGAAAAGAAGAGCCATAACAATGAGAATTACATCCTAAAATTCCAAATCAGTAACAGGCCTCTATAATCTTCTCGAAAAACCATATTCAGATGTCCAAAGGTTTATGAATGCAATCAGACTCTTGGACATTTCCAAAAGTTTCAAGTAGAAATTCTCAGCTGCTTACGGCACGCGAGTATAGCGCATAAGGAAGTTGTGACGATGTTTTTTGATACCCTTGATTTTCAGGCCAAAGGTCACATGTGGTTTTAGCATTTAATGTTTCAGAATTTATCCTGCTATTAGATTGAATGATTTGTAATGTAAATAATTTCACATCATTTTATGGCAGTATAACACTGTCAGAATTTATGACAGCAATAATCACTTACCACCTTTTCCAACTTAGGCCACCATTTGGATTAAGATAATGGCACTTTGGCAAAATCTTCTAATGCCAATAGTGATCCCAACTAAGTTTGACAAAGAGAATAAATTTCAGAATAAATTGCTACCAAGTACCATACATACAGCATCACATACATGACCCTCAAATTAATTAATCCATTCACTACTACAAATGTGAATTCAACTACAACTAAACTTGGAAAACATTGACATGATGCCAGATTACAAACAAAGATGAACACCTACTTCATGTGTGAGCCCCCATCACAGCGCAGTGCGAAATGTCAACCACTCTCCATTCATTGCAACAGCTGCTAGTGACGACGCTGATCGTTAATCAACTGTGGACAGTGTTCTAGGATCCTGATGCAGAAGT